GTATATTATGAGGGGCCAAAAAGCAACAAGAAATAAGAATCACTAGAAGATACATTACTGTATCTTCACAGGAATTCTTCAATCAGAAGTGGCTTGTACTGAGCGTAAAATTAAAATTAAACAGAGGCAGGCTCAAAAGGATTCTCTATAGAACACAGTCTTTTAATCAGATTTTATTGATTTCTACTAAACCAAGTCTACAAATTCAAATTTCTATTATCTCATGTTACTTAAAATCATCTCACTTAGCACAATGTTATTTTCAACAGAAACAATGCAATCCTTTTGTAGCATACATGGTAGGTGTTGATTTATGTAATCCTACTGCAGTCTCATAAAATACTACTATATTTATATTTTGTTTGTTAGGTCACTTTAAGCCATATGAGAAAGTCTCATTAGAACAACAAAATGACCAAGTTGCCATGATTTAAGAATAGTCTAGCCATCAAATTCACATTGCATAAAATAAATTCTGATGTTCAGACAATTTGTTTTAGCTGTGCATTTCAGTCAGGGCTTCTGACTCTAGTCCAGTGATTTTTTTTCCAAGAAAACATTTCCTCAGGATCATCCTCCAGCTGGAGAAATGACTGTAGAACAAGCTATGAGGACAATACATAGCAACTATATTTGTAAGATGGAAATGCTTTGGTCATCTGAGTGATAATGGAGCTTTCAACAAAAGCTGCTCCTAAATAGCAACTGGGAAATGAAAACCTACCATGTAGACCACACCACTGGTGTGCCTGCCAGCACAGGGTTGCACTGGAGACATGGATCCATGAGTTAGGCAACAGCGGTATTACTCTGGATTAATATCAGCTGCTTTTTCATTCTATGACATGGCATATAAAACTATAATGAAATTGAAGACCAAGGAGCAAATCCAAATTCTTAGCCGCAAATGTCCTTAGCATCAAATGTTTTCACAAGAAATCACCTATCAGCTATGTGACAGGGACTGTTACTTCTGCTCTAGGCACACATGTGCAGTAGGTTAAGTGGACCTGTTAAATTCTTAGGACTTACATTTGAAATAGATGGAACCTCTACTTGGGAAAAAACATTGTCCCTCTAAAAAGAATTCTCAGTAGTACCTTTGAGTATATTTTCTCCCTGTAATATTGAATAACACACTCCTCCACATTACCATGGCATTTCTTCATCTCTGGAAAGAGCTGTCTCACGCCTTCAGACCGCTCCCCCCAGCCTGGTGCAAGGGGAAAGCACACTTTACCACAGTTTGGGGTGCTGTAAATGAATAGGAACCAGGGAACACAGCACTGTGAAGGGCGTGGCTGCACAGAAGGACAAGCTTGTGGACGTGGGTCAGTGCGTTCTGCTAACAAGTGTCTCACCGAGTGGACTCACCTGTGTTTTAACAGCTACTAGATGAACAACTATAAATGTTCACTCATTCCGAGTAGAAATCAGAACTGGGGACAACTGGAGAGGTTTGTAGAAACCTTGTCTGCCAAACTGCAGTGCCTGCTAAAGAAGTCTGGTCTCAGAGAGCTTGGGTGTGGACACAACAGACACACAGGCACTGTCTTTACCTTCCATGGGTTCCACTCTGAGACTCTTATGCTTTTCAGTCTCTGCATAGCTCTGTTCAGGGCCCCCTTTGCCTCCCTGGTCCTCAGGCTGTAGATAAAAGGGTTCAGCATGGGTGTCTTGGTTACTTTTCTCTCGTTGCC